AGTTGGATTGGGGTGGGTTTGGGGTTGGGCCAATTTGGGGTCGCCTTGGAGGTTGGGTTGAATTTAAGAAAAAAAAATGGTCGTTTTTATAGGAAAAAATATGTGGGTTAGTCTTTAAAAATGCGATTATTCAGTATTTGGAAGAGAAATTAATAAAAAAAACACTTCGTCATACAGAAAGTGCATAAAATATGCGTTTTGGTTTGTTTTCAATAGCAAAAATTCTAATAAAATTATATTTTTCAGTCAACAAAAGCACAAATGATAAGAGAAAACGTCGTTTTTTATCATAAAAAAGTGATTGTATGTTTTCCGAAAGCAAAAATTCTAATAAAATTGTAATTTTCATTTGACAAAAGCACAAATGACAAGAGGAAACGTCGTTTTTCATTATAAAAAAAGTGATTATATGCTATATATATATATTTGCGAAGAGATCCAGCAATAGGCTTCATCGATTAGGGTGTTGCGACACCGACGCCGTTTTTTTTTAATGGTAACCTAGATTTTCCGATTCGTTTTTGGATTCTGCATTAAATTCTGAATACAGCCATATAGCACACTTGCAGTTTTCCTAAAATACTGATGAAAAAAGGCAATTTTATTGCATATTATATGAGGGCCATGAATAAGTCAAAATGAATGCAATAATACGAGTTCAATGAAATGAATCCATCAGTTATGATCTCATTGTCTGTTCAATTTTATCTAGTTTTCTGTACAAATCAAAATAAATGTTTCAAATTACCAAAAAATATATTACTTTGACCATAACTTGACTAACATGATGATAACGAAATCAATTAGCGATAACAAGAATCATTTTAGTTAGTGTTCGAACTGCCTCCCTTCACGTAGTATACACATATTGCATCTTTTTAGTAATTCCCGATTCGTGACAACTAAAAGCGTCTCGCGTTATTGAAGCACAAACATTTGTGATACTATTTTCCAAATCGCCTACATTTTGTGGACGTCGCATATAAACTGAGTCTTTGATATATCCCCACAAAAATAAATCTAGTGGAGTAATATCTGGACTTCGAGCTGGCCATGGTATTGGACCCTTATTTCCAATCCATTTCTCATTAAAAGTATCATCCAAATATTGGGTAACTATTCTATTATTATGTGGAGGTGCCCCACATAATAATAGTTCGTATTGATAAATTCTCCAAGATATTCGTCAACACATGTTATAGAAAAACCAAGTACCTCTCCTCATTGAGAATTCCTTAGAAAAAATGAGGTCCTATCAAATAACCATCAATGATTCCGCACCAAACATTAACCCCCCCAAACAAACTGAAATCTCGTTTCTTGCACCCAATGAGGGTTCACGTCAGACCAATAGTGACAATTATGTATGTTTATTGTACCGTTGTTATGGAAACGGCTTTCATCTCTCTATAATATTTTTTTCAGAAATTGACCATCATCATGAATACGGGTGGACAACCATGCTTTTTTTGAATTCCTACTTGCTTCGCCATAAATACATATCATATCCAACTTTTCTACAATTGAAAATTGAACCATTTTTCAATTTTACGAAAAACCAACACAAAACTGAATTTACTTTCGTCAAATCTGACAGGTCTTCTGACAGATCGATAAATACATTATTGCAATGATGAATACTGATGAAAAAAGGCAATTTTATTACCTTTTTTCATCAGTATTCAAGGAAAACTACAAGTGTGCAATATGGCTGAATTCAGAATTCAAAAACCAATTGAAAATACTGGGTTACCATTAAAAAAAATTGGCGTCGGTGTCGCGACGCCCTATCGGATAACGCCTAGTGCTGGACCCTTTGTCACCAAAATGATCTGCTTTCACGAAATATGGATATTCTTTTTCATTTTTCAGATATTTGCTCGCGGAGTTTTATATGGGACATCATGTATATAGGTATATATAATTTCATATACCAATATTTATACTGATGTTTTTCTGTATCCTCATCATCATATCGTTTTACGACGTGAGGGAGTAAACAAGATCGAGTTTCAAGTTCTCCAAACCAATTGAAATCACTTTTCACATTTCTCAACCAGAAATGCATGCTTTGAAGGACAAAACATTATTTTTCATTAATTTATTTGATTGATTTTTATTTAATGTTCTGTGTCTATTTAGCAGCTATGAGAATTGGTCTTGAAGTAGGTATATTTGATAGCACCAGATGATTAGGGTGTCACTATCCGAAAATCGACGTTATTTTTGCATCCATTTTAATAACCTATAGAAATAATTTACATGGCAGAACAACCTTTTCCGGGTCGCTAACTCAGCAATGCAATCTAAATAAGCAAAAAAAAATAATGATGATGATGTCGACGAAAGCCGTTTTTGTCTGGTCCTGATTGACGAAGGTGTTACCGATAAGAAGTTATCGAAGTGCTTGAAGAGGTGGTAGTCGGTTGGCGACAGGTCTGGGATCCAAAAAAGGATTCTTTTGGTGGCTCAAAAGCAAAGAAGAACAGTTTCTGTCGATTGTTCAAATCGTGGAACACCCACTTTTCAAGCTGACCTTTCCAATGCGTTTGGAACGTAACGTAAAAAGAGTGGTTACAAATAACGTTACAAACATCGCTGATGTTCAATAAAACCCATCTTATAATAATTATGTTTGCATCAAATCTAATCTATTTTGCCAGACCATAATTATGTTTTTTATCAATTTCACACCAGTTCATTATTATATGATGAGTTATCCATTTTTTTTCTATTCATCAAATCTGGAATTAGTATTCCAGATAAATAATCGATCGATAGTCGTTAATTATGTTTGATCACCTCTTGTAGTTGATACATGTTATCATAAAGTACACTGTTCATCTGTTAGCAATATTAAAATCAACTTCAGCTACATCTATACAGTTGGCAAAATGCCAAAATTGATTATTTCGGGGACCAAAATAAATTATATAACGAACGGAGGATTTATTTTGGATGATACTAGTATCAATTATATAGGATTTTCAACACAAATGAATTGAATGAAAATTTCAAGTTTTGTACAAAACAATTGAAGGATCACTACTTTATAATGATTGTTGTAATACACTGCAAAACATAATTCAATGATTTACCAAGCTTTCTTATTAGTCAGTGGGCTATGCTTGAAGACTGGCAGTAAACAAATCTAAAGAAATGAACTTTAAACATTCAAGCCAGTCTCTGATATACCTACACAGTAGGTTGAATGGACTGAGGTCTATCAGAAAACCGATTTTCAATTATGGAGGATTATTGACTTTAGGTTGATGATGGCCACTATCTTGCACTGACGAGTGGCTAATGAGCCCGAAACCGGTCTGCAAGTGTGCCCGTTCCAAAATTGAAGGTCGACTCTTTAAGTTGTATTGCCAATTGCATATGCAGGAAAATTTTCTGTGAAGATTCCTGCACTGAGGCCTGTCGGATATAATCCAACGACGTTTGTGGTATTAGCCAGTGGAGTAGTTGTTTTCTGATAAGCGTCAGTCCATTCAACCTACTGTGAATGTATATCTGAGACTGGCTTGAACGAGACTGGCTTTAGATTTAATTTATAAAGCATTTGGTAGCCATTTACTTTGCCTTTCCAGCTAATATAACATATAATAAGTTTTTTAACTGTTAAAAAAGTTACAAGCTCATATAGAATTGATCGTTCAATTAATTGGTTTTAGGAGTTTATCAGTTTTGTATATAGTTTCTATATAAAGCTGTTGGCATTGTCAAGGTAAAAATAATTCATTCATTTTTACATTGAAATCTAGGGAAGAGTAGAAGAGCCACACGTTTTCATTATTTGTTTCCTGGAAATTGTGACTTTAAAACTCGAAATTTCGCGATTTAAGTCGAAATTTGGAGTTTTGTTTTGAATCTTTAAATTTTGACTTTGATCTCGCAATTTCGACCTTCAACTCTAATTTTGAGATAAAAGTAGAAATTTCAAGTTTGAAGTCGTACTGTTTATCAGCACCAGAATTGGTGCACATTATACGACTTCATAATATATTTGTGAATAATATTTTCTGGTCATCAGAAATATCTACCTACTACCTGGCCCCTTTCAAGCCCTTTACGTCGGCTAGAAAACTGGTACCTGTTGAATATAGCCTTGAAAATTATATTGTTAAGTTCAGGGTATTCTTTCAATTATAATTTTAGTCGAGGAAGCTATTTTATGCAACCATGTTGCCATGGACTCCATTTTTCTTGGATTTGGTGCATTTTTCATTAACAAATAATGATAATTTGTAGGATCTCTAACTTTTTTGTATTCGTTTATTTATGATAGCACATATTTCGGTAACTGGACATTGAATTCTGTTAAAATTTATAATAAAAATAATAATAAGGCGCTTATTAGGATACAATTTAATAAGTTTTCACTGAGATATTACAGTTTAAATCAGACTCATAAAAACTGACATCACTTTTGAAACAACCCAACCTAATACATACCTGTTATCTCTCATTTTGGAATTATAAGTTTTCAAATTTATTTTGAAAAGGGAAAACAGTATTGAATTCCCCTGAATTACAGAATACAAAATATAATTGTAAAGTAATTAAAAACGTACCTTGAACGTAAGTGTATTGCAACTATAACTGATTCATTTCGCCACGTAGGACGTATTTATAGGAAAATAAATAATTATGTAGTTTGAAAATAAAACAAAGAAAATAAAAGTTCTTTGTGGAAACTGCTTACTACCGTATGTAGATTCACCATAAGTCAGCATTGATATTGATCTTATTTATCTATGTCACCTTTGGTATGAATATACTCATATGAACATACTCATATGAACATACTCATAATTTTATTGGGCCCCACAGGACATATTGCGGTGTATCCTTTCCGAAGCTCTGGTTTTTCAGATATATTCCTCACAGTCGTAGGGGTCTGTAGAGAATCATTCCTCAGAGCCGTAGGGGGTTGTGTGGCATGGTTAAGCTGTTAGAAACGCAAGAAACGAAGAAGAATTTTTTTTTTTCAGTTCTCGGTCAGCCGTTGCAGGCCAGAAAGCGGCATTGTTAGAAGGTTTGAAGGTGCTGAAAGATGACGGTCAACAAAAGCGCAGTGTCACAGGAGACATCATTTCTCCAGGGCAGGTTATGGGCATTGAGCATCTCAGGGATCCTCGCCTAAATAAGGTAGGAAAATGTATGTAATTTTTCAATTTTTTGCTTTTTTGTGGGAGGGGAGTTGAATTAATTCCGACAAGTTCTTAATTAAATCGTGAAGAACTATTTCGCAGGTTTGCAGGTCACCAAATTGTTTACAATAAACAATACTCTTACATGAAGGCTGAAATACTTGCAGATCGAGCCTGCCAGATTAGAATCACGAACACATTAATCATTTCCGACAGAAAAAATTCCAATCTCCACTCTTTATGTATGAAAAAATGTTACATTTCTCGCAAAACTGTCGGCAGAAATTCTTGCAGTTCGGCCTTACTCGATAGGTGGTGTTTGGAATTCTGTCGGAAATGATTATTCTGGCCGAGATTTATATCTGAGAGACCCAACGTGCAAGAATTTCTGACCACCTGCAAGATTCATTTTCAATATAATGAAATTTCCTATTTTTTCAAAACCTGATAGATGGAACTTTTTTCTGTCGGAAATTATTAGTCTGGTCGAGTTCTTTATCTGAGAGGCCCGCCCAGCAATGATTTTAGCCTTTCCACAAGATTACAAGCAATGTTTACTGAGACCTGCAAAATAGGTAGACCCAATTGAGTCCGGAAAATAGTTATAAGCCTGTTTAGTAGTTTTGTGGTATTGACGATTATTCGAGAACTTGGCATAAGTTTGAGTCATTTTTGTTTTATCTGGACTTCTTTACTGATTTCTTTACTGAAATACTTACTTGTTTTGGAAATAATGCAGGAAATTTAGAGCCCGTAATCCCATTGTTATTTTTGTACCCTTGTTTTTCACTCCCACTATAGGGTGTTCTTCAAAAGACACCCTCTGATTGCAAGTATTTAAGTGCAGTAAGCAGCAAATTCAATAGTTCTCCCAGATGTTTCAATAATGAATTTTGTCTGTCAATCAAGATGAACATAAGTTAATTTTATAGTTAACTGTTTTTTGGAAATATAGTTGACGTTTCGAAAAATTTATTTTTACCATTTTCAAAATCTTATCACCTCACTAACTTGCCCCAATCATTCTTACGTTTACTTGGAACCACAGTCAAAAAATGGATAATACCCAGGTGACATATTCGATACACAAAGGAATCGTTTATATTCGACAAACCATTAAACTGGTTTAATTTTCTTGAAGATGATCACTTGGTGATCGAAACTCGTGTAGAAGTGTTACAATAACGGTTTGGTGTTGGGAAAAAATTCCAATAATATTTACCTTTGAAAGTATCTCAGTTTTCAGATTTATCTCGTCTCCACATAAAAAAATATTTGTTGCTAATAAACTCCTTTACCAAAACCGTTTTTATCGACTTATGGGTGGTTATTTACACTTCTAGGCGCGGAAAAGCAAACAAGTGGTATGTGTCGTCGTAGTTAGCTATTTTAATCGTCGCTGAGCTGATCTAATTCAATTTCACGTTATGAAACCGATCTGTTTATAGCCAGGAACTTGGGGTAAGCCATTTCCCGTGTACGAGATTATTACGTAGCGGGGCATTTGTGTACCTACTTTGAAAATTTGATAAGCCACTTCTCACATCTTCTGGAAAGGTTCCTTTATCAACCACGATAGATGGTAAAATTGAAATAATGATTTTAAAATCTTTAGAATCATCTTTTTTTTTCAATTGGCCATTTCCCTTCAGAATTTTCAAAGTAATCCATCTTGCGTTTGCTCAGATAAGTATCTGAGCAAAGTCGAGTACTGTAAAGTTACAGTACTCGACAAAATAGTGAGATGCTTCTATACAACTCTGGCGGAGTTTCTCCACCATAACGTCTGGTCAGACGAGATTTCAAACAGAGTCCTTTTCTGCATCTCAGCATTATCCGTTGTGCTCAGAAATACTTGAAGGTACTCATATAACTGTGGCACCCAGAAACCGGAGGCATAAGGTTACCCATTTGTTTCATATGGATGATCTTGAACTTGCTGCCTGAAGAAAAAGCTCTCCATCAGTCCTTAAGGATGGTGGAACAGTACACGCATACTTTGGTCTATCTCAGAAGATGATGGTACAGGGATTGCGGAGAGGAAGCATCCTACGCCATTCGGATGCTGGAGAGATGTATACTTCCATCGGGGTGGATCAACGCCACTTACAAGAGATAGCAGTAATAAAAAACGCTCTCTTTTCCAATAATTAACACAAACTCCGACAGATCTGGTCATCAGAACTGTCGAGGAAAAACAAAGTTGCTGCCACGAATATGCTTGTCATCTCACTCCACTTTGGAGTAGTAAAGTGGATTCAGAATCAGCTGTATGAACACAAAGTAAAGATCCTAAACATGATGGATCTTCAAGAAAGTTTGCATCCCAAATCGTCCGTTTCACGGTTGTACTTTCTCCGACAAAACAAACGTGGACTTCATGAGTGAGCAGGAATTAGAGCATTTATCTTTGAAGCAGCTGCCCGAGCGGCTGATGTACTGAGTTTAGTTTTGGACACTAAACAAGGTGGTCACCCGTTGCAACCCGTTCAGTGAAAGGGCCACATAAAAAAAGCGAGAATCACTTTACCCTTGGGGTAACATATGCGGTCTCGGCTTGTATCCATCGACATAATGCGATCCTTGAGAGAGCTTCTTACCATCACGGCACTAACACCTTATTGGCGGGACAGCTGTGTGGGAAATGAGATGTTCCGAATTTATTGGAACTATCCACCCATTTCCCACCCTCGGATTGATGCAAGCTAATAAGCCTGATGTCCTCTTCGGCCATCAGAGTAAGACAATTTTTTTCGTGGATTTTTCAGCTTGGGTGAGGCGAATATTGTTTTAAAAAGGAAATAAAAACAAATAAACTGATATCCTCACTTCAAGCTCCGCATACTGTCCTATCTACTCTGCTGAAATAGTTTTTCTGATTGTTGGAGTCGTTGGGGTCCTTGGGAAAGCCACACACCACTACTAGTCTCTCATGTCGTGGTGGTGCGGCTTGTGATGAATGGATCATCTCTTGGGTCAAGTCATGAAACCCTTAAGCGTGCGACCACCTGAGGATTAGGCAGATTGAGAACTCAGAGTAGTGAAACTTTAAAAATAGCTCCAAAGCCGAAGCCAAAACGTCTAAAAACTAAAATATTTCGACATGGTTCAACCAGGACTTCAGATATATGGTGACATGTATATTTAAGGGTTTTGTGCCACCCCAATTGAAATTTTTCATCCCAATTGAAATGCCTGTGACTCAAAATTAAAATAGAGAAATTTAGATGAGAATAAATAATCTTGGGCATGGTTTCACACAAAAAAAGAATCAGATACGTGACGGGAATACAGCAGTTTTTTTTTATTAGATGTGTTTAACTACAAACGGTGCGCAGTTCCACCCACGTAATGTTTTTGTTTCGTGTATTGGTTGTTAAGTGACTGTCAGCAAATAATAAGCAGTGTCAAAATGGCGAATATATTTTTTTAAATGCCATTCTGTTACTTATCGTATACATAAGATTTTCATCAAGTACTCAACGGTCAATTCCACCATAATGTATAGTGTTCAATTTTTTTAATAATCACCCGAAAAATGTCTGTGTGCTCGAACATTAATATACCTAATGTATTTTTTTCAAGGCAGTATTCACCAAATACAGAAAAATCTAGTCTCAGTATTGCTGTTCTGATATGTTTTCGCTGCCATTTGTTATATTGAAACAAAATTTTGGAATGATCAACGGCCTCCATTTGTTTTTTGTTTGATATTGTCCTACGTTAGGTACTATTTAAATACTTAAAATCATTGAATTATTCAATTATTCGAAAAAAATTGAATAAAATTGAATACAAGTCACCAAGTTTCCCGCCTCAAATTGTTTTTTTAATGGTTTTTGGCGACACTGAATAATTATACCACAGTAGAAAGCTACCTTTACTGTGGTTATGCTCTGGACATTTACCCTGGAACCGGCTCTGCCGAAGGTCCTTCAAATTTAACCTTGTGTTCGCAAAGTATATTTCATTCTGATTATGAAACGTGCTACGTATGCTATTAGCTGGACAAAATTAGTGACGACTTTATATATTTGTTTATTTTGAAATATTTAGTCATATTTTAAAGTAATTCTTATGTTGACGGAAATAATCGACTTGTATTACGTTGGCAAAAGTACACCGTTTCAAATGGCGCTTTATCGATTAAGTATTTACTGAAGTATTACAGTAGACCCATAAAAACGGACAAAACTATTGGAAAAACTAATACACGTTGGAGTCATATCAGGTTTGGAGTCATACCAGTTTTGGAGTCATATCAGGTTTGGAGTCATATCCGGTCATATTTCCCGGTTTCTTGCTTTGTATGATCGTGAATTATTTTTACTCCTTCTTGTAAATCGTTTTGTGTCTTGAAGGTTACGCTAATAACGCATTTCAATTCATTGTTCTTTTCAACACTTTTATAATATTTCTGAATTCAATAATTGAAGCAAAACACCAGTAAAATACAAAATTATTTCCCTTCTGTGATATGCTTTGAAATGGTCAGCCTCTGAGTACTAGGCCTAATTAGTTTGGTTGTGAAATATAGAGTAATACCTGAATCCCATGTTTAACTTTTTCATTTCTTTTCCAGGGTCTCGCTTTCACTTTGGAGGAACGTCAGGCACTCGGTATCCATGGTCTCCAACCAGCTCGGTTCAAAAGTCAGGAAGAGCAGCTGGAACTCTGTAGGATATCGATTGAAAGATATCAGGAAGACCTGAACAGATACCTGTACCTCACGGAACTCCACGATAGAAATGAGAAACTTTTTTTCAGACTACTGTCGGAAAATATCGAAACGTTGATGCCGATCGTTTACACTCCCACTGTTGGTTTGGCATGCCAAAAATTCGGACTGATCTATAGAAGACCCAGAGGATTATTCATCACTATCAACGATATCGGCCATGTATATGAAGTGATAAAGAACTGGTTAGTATAAGACGCTATGTATATGAGTAATGTAGTTGAATATATACCGAAAAACAATTAGTTTAGTTCCGAAATTTAGCAAAAATGTTCTTAAAGGATGTTTACATATTTCTGGTGAAAATTTGTTGATTTCTTAGAGCGCAGACATGATATACTAACTAGCTTTATGATGGCATATGAATCTATGGTCTGGTGGCCAAAGATGAAACAATATCCCGCTAATAACAAACTAAGCGAGGTGCAAAGACTTGCACTAGAGTCGTTATTGAATATTTAGCCTTTACATATTTCATAAAGAGGGGGAGCAATTACATGGGATCAGCCAAAACAGAAATTAGGGAATATGTGGAGGAACATCAAACCCACAGAGAGTAGGAATATGCGGAGGAAGCAACATCAAACATGTTGTCGGACCACATTACACGCAAATACATGTTCGACGAAAACTTTGCGATTGAAGTTTCAAAACGCAAAGAATGGAGAATGAACAGTCATCATGAGAACATTCTCGGTAGAAACACCTGGTATACATACGGGTCGGAAACCGATTGAGGGACGGGTGATGGAATTTACTTTGCAGGGAGAAATCTCAATTGAAGTTACCCGCTCGGTCAGTGCACATCATTCTTCCAGGCATCAGTCTTGTAAGGTTAATTTGAGCTGTCAACGAAATAGAAATCACTTCTTTTATTCAGTTCAGTTCTTGTAAATGTATATTCAAAACATTGCTGGACTACTCTAAAGCATTTGATCGTATTAACTACTCCCTACTTCTGGCAATACTGAAGTACCTGGGTTTTGCCTCTAGCGTGGTCACTCTGCTTGGAAATTATCTGCTGAACCGTTCTCATTGTGTCATACTCGATAACAAAAAATCGAATACCCTTAAAATAAATAATGGGGTCCCACAAGGATCGATTTTAGGTCCACTTCTCTTTATTTTATATACTTCTCAGTTCCCACACTGCCTTCTACACAATTCGATGAAAATTCACTCAATATTGCGCTCGAACAAATGAGTCATCGTTTGTTTGAAGATGATTGACAATGTTTCATGATGAATTTCACAAGTGCGGACTTACATTGTCTACTATATAAAATGATTTGAAATCCCTGAAACAACTAAAAAAGAATAATTAAAAATGAATAGCTGAAAATAACAATTATATTAGGCCAAAATAAACCTGAAATGAAATAATAGTGAAATAAACTACAAGTAAAAATAGAACAATTGAATAAATAAAAACAAAATAAAAATAAAGGAATGAAAAAAGAAAATAAAAATAAAAAGTGTAGAGATTCCAAGTCACGTTAGTTCACGACGTTTCGATTGTTAGTATCTACAATCGTCTTCGGGTGATGACTGGACTGATTCCTCCGAGAGATGACTATTTATAGGTCGTTCAAATACTATCACTTATCCCTGCTTTCCATTTTCCGCTTCACTGGTTCCGTGGCCAACTCCCGCCGAAACGGTCATTTCCCACATTTCCATCGATGGGGTTCAATTACCAAAAAGTGACGTCACCAAAAATTTGCGTCTTTATGTCGATGATTCTCTGCGTTTCATGCTAACTAAGCTGATACTGTTTATGGTCCGGGACTCTTGAAATCTGACAGGCAGACTTCAAAAACTGCAGAATTCGTGCATAAGACTCGTCACAGGCGTAAGGAGACGTGAGGATATGTCTCAATACTTGGAACCACTCGGGTGGCTGAATATGGATGCTAGGCGCACACTGCATTCTGCTAGTTTATTCCATAAGGTCGTATCCACTGAGAAACCTGCCTAACTATTCACGAAACTGTCCTTTAGAAACGATATACAGCGTGACTCACGGTCGATGGTAGGTTAGACGTTTCTGGAAAACGCAAAGCATGATTTTTCTGAAAATTTCACCTCTCACATTTCCTTACCTGTTCTATTGATCTGAAATATTTTCAGCATTGCGGCGTTGCCACTTCCATCAAAAAGTCCTAGCAACTTTATTTTTTTTAATGGAACACCCCGTATATTAATACATTTTTGGAATCGCTCTGGTATTTTAATACTTTTTTGTTAATGATGTCCTATACCTATGTTTTCTGTTTTCGAGATAAAAAATAAATTGTGCTAAATATGGTCCTAAACATAGCCTTAATTGAAATTAAGTACATCAGTACTCTCAATTCATGAAAAGTTGATATTTTGATGATAGTTTGGATAAACTCGAAATATTCAAATAACACCAAGAAATCGACTCCATATCATACAGGGCGGGCTAAAATTACTATTATTTCCATTGTGCATAAAAGTAGTCAAAAGTTCATTTTTTCAAACGAAACTTCATCTTCAAACGAAACGAGTACTGTATACGCTTTCTTTTAAAACACCCCGTAAAAAAAGTCAAGTGGCGTGAGATCGGGTGATTTCGGTGACCAATCCCACGGCCCTAAACGCCTAAACCAACGATCGTCAAAGAGTTCGTCAAGTTTCCTGAAAACTTCCTGGGTGGAATGAGCTGGCGCTTGTTCCATTTGAAAAAATAAAGTTGCTAGGACTTTTTGATGGAAGTGGCAACGCCGCAATGCTGAAAATATTTTAGATCGATAGAACAGGTGAGAAAATGTGAGAGGTGAAATTTTCAGAAAAATCATGCTTTGCGTTTTCCAGAAACGTCTAACCTACCATCGACCGTGAGTCACGCTGTGTATAATCTAAATTTGAGATTTAAACATCTTTTGACTGTACCTAAACATAAAACTTCTCTTTTTCGAGGATCTTTTTCTTATAACATTGCACGCTTATATAATCGGCTTCCCATTTAATTGAAATCCCTACTACCACTTAGTTTCAAGAAAAATTTGAAGAGATTTATGCTAATCCGGTTTTCTTCTTTTATAACATTGATCAGTTGACACTTATACATATGTTTTCACCATAAATATGTAGAAATCATCAAATTTATCATTGTTTGTGACATGATTTTTCACATATGAAACATTAAATTCTCATTTATTAATTTTTTGCCTCTCTTTTCTCTGCTTCTCTCCCTTCTTTTCTTTTTTTTTTCTATTTTTCATTAAGTTCGATTGCAAATAATGTGTATTGATATAAGTTATCTATTACTGGTTGGATGAAAGAGCAATTTCTCTTATACTCTGAGTATCCTTTCAATAAAAGCATTTATTATTATTCATAATTGATTCGAAACAGAACACAACTCTATTATTATTATATTAATCAAGCTTCGGGTAAACTTCGAAGTTTCGGGTGAAGATACTTGTCTTCATCTATTCATCATATTACATATCATATTACATGATTTTATTGACTTTCTGATGAGACAAAATGTTTCATGGAGAAATAATTAACAGGCCAAAGGCGTAATTCCATTAGTTGGATGCAGAAGTCTGAAAAAATGCGGACTCTTTCCTAAAAACATCTCTTATATTTATTTAGGTGAAAAACGAAAAAAAAATTGATTATCTATCGTAATGAATATGTGTGATTTACGTTTGAAGGAAGTTCAATTATATGTATCATCATTACGAAATATGGTTGGACTATCATATTGATGCTTATGATTGTCATTGATTTGAAAAACATAAGATGTTTCTATATTTTCTTTATTTGTCAAAAATATCTGCAATTTCAGGCCCGAACCTAATGTGAAAGCTATAGTAGTCACGGACGGTGAACGTATTTTAGGTCTTGGAGATTTGGGAGCTTGTGGAATGGGCATTCCCGTCGGAAAACTCTCTCTTTATACTGCTCTGGCTGGAATCAAACCACACGAGTGTTTACCTATAGTTTTGGACGTTGGTACGAATAATCAGGTGAGAATATGTTGACAGTGCAAACTTGTACAAAAATAAAATACTAACAGAATTTGAGTCATTGAATGAAAATCATTTTTGGGGGGATCGTGATTTTTTGACCTTATTAAAGTGTAAGGGCTTTTTCAATGATCAACAATGGCGATTTATATGACTGTTTTCAGAAATTTTAAACTCTTTGCTTGTAGGAAAAACATTACTGTGCATTTTGAATGAGACGGTGAATATATTCATTCAGGTTAACTTTAAGTCGCGTGAAAGTTTCTTCAGACTTTTATGTACTTCTCTCTCTATTTCTTTCTTTCTCGTGTTGAAGAAATTCATAATAGGTTCCATAATCGTAAAAGGATTTATAGAGCTTCCAAAAGTTGTCCAGAGATTACAGTCTGACAGTAAAAACAGATTTCAATTTGAGATTTTTTTTTATTTTTATATTTTGAAAAATGACTCTCTAGCACAAGGTGAGTTGTAATACAAGCCATTGGCTTAGATGATGCACCTAGTGCAAAGCATAAAATTATCTTGTAAATATGTCTGAATAAATATGTCTAATATATGTTCGATAAGATTATGAAACTGACTTTCAAAAATTCCCTGCAATCAACTAGAGCTGATCGATAATACTCCCTGAGGCACAACGATAGCTATTGCCGGAGTTTTCTACGATCCTTAGCTAAACTGGACATACAATGACTAAGTTACATGCCTAATTCGCGGCCAGAAGGTGCGTTTTCAGCCGCAGTACTCAAGTGCAGTGATTGCTTCCTCGTGGATACACTCGTATGAGAACGTATGAGAACTATGAGAAAATGAGAATTTGTCTGCACAGAGCTTCCGTCGTGCTATTGAGGTGGTGACGTAGCCTCTCGTCTCCTGTTGTCCAAATGGGCTGATACCCTCTTGCCTTGATGCCAATAATTGGAAACAGGTGAGACAGTTAGGTTTTTTATTTATTCATTCAAAATATCGCTGCTGCCTCAATGATTTCTCCTTATAGAACAATAGTTTTGTTTCAACGAACAGTTAGTTTAACGAATTCTTTGATTAATATTTGGTTATACTTCATACACCAAATGTGTCCAATTAACTTCAGAGTTGGCTGTGAATATATCTTATATATTCAAATATTTCCAGAAATCAGTATTATCCTCCGTATCTTTGATGTACAGTTAAATCCTAATGGAAATCTTCTTCAACAAACAGAATACACAATTCGCCTTCCACTGAAGAATAATTTGGAATTGAACAGCAAACGGCTATCGGAGTTCGACTCTGGAACAAAATCACGTATGCCCTTTGCATCGAATTTGTAGATGACACCGCACTAATGTGTTTCTCTATGCCTAGAGAATTCAGAGTAGCGTACCTGCAGAAACATGGTTCCTGAAGTGAGTTTACTGAGTCCCCTCAAAAATGCAAGCGATGAATTGAGTTCATCAATGAATCAGGCGGCGAGAATCCGAATCCGGCCAAGCAACACACCTCATTGAGCCGTACCAAGTCTGAAAATAAGCAGCGAGTCGCAAGAGTCCAACTCCTTTGATTAGGAGACGATACGATTGATTCGGGGATTCGAGCGTCAGCCGTAGTCCCGCTGCGTTGACCGTACTTTGCAGAGCTTTCAAGAATGACATTATTACATGAGAAAAGGTTGAGAAAAATATATTGTATTATATAGAATCCTAGTATGGATTGAAAATTGTAGCGATATTGTTGTAACATGCCATTGGAGATAATGGGGCATTCGTTTATCAGATGGAGAGATTGTACAAGGTGTCTTCAGATATAGTTTCTGCGTGGTCGTCTCTTTGTTGAGGCCTGGTGTACTTCAACAGAGCTTTTTAGGTCTGTATCGTCCCTATCAGGACTAACTGAAAAGAATTCATCTACGATGGAGCGAGGGGCCCACTAGCCAGCTTCTTTCGACTTGTTTGTCCTAATTAGGTCCCAATACATGGAGGTATGCTGACCCAGCTCCCTTATGTGGAGCTGGGCAGTAAACCGCTACGCGTCGGGCAGTAAACTTCATTCTCGGGAGGAAAAGTAACACTTTCCTCCCTTGTTATACAAATAGCTAGTACTGTATTCATTGATGCTGTTCAATTTTTTCCAAATTTTAATTTTTGCTTCTTTTCAGCTCATTACTATATGTTGTTGTTGAGCGATTTGTAGCCAGTATTCCTCTACGAATTTGAGTTGAACCAAAGCGCTACCAAAACAGCCCGGAAGTTAACCAGGCATTTGGCAATGTGTTAATGAACAACATACTGTTCGACGTTTTGAGGACCCTGGTGGTGACTGACTCATCACAAACGGTGCATGAGATGGTTCAAAACGTTTAGGGAAGGTCGTGGGGTGCCCCAGGATTTGAAAAATCGACAGAAATTGTCACGTTCTGATCGAGGTCTGTTCTTTTTTGCTTTTACGCAGAAGGAACCTTCAATGAATCGGATTGTCATGTGTGATGAAAAGTAGATCAACTACGATAACACGAGTTGTTCAGCACAGTGGTTGGACACCGATGAGCAATCTTGACATTTCCCAAAGGCGAAAATCTCCAAAAAAAGAATATGGTTACTATGTGTTGTACAGCGGTTGGTGTGGTCACTAAATCTATAACCGGGCTTGACCATCACAACCGAGTTCTATCATAGATAAATCGACGAAATGTACTGAAAACTGTGTCAACAGCAGCCGGCACTAGTCAACAGAAGAGGTCCGATCACGCTCCACAACAACGCCCGTCCACACGTCAAAGTTCTGCCTCATCCACTATACTCCCCAGACATCAGTATCTCGCCAACCGACTACCATCTCTTCAAGCACTTCGATAATTTTTCCACCGGTAAAACCTTCGCCAATCAGGACCAGGCAAAAACGGACTTAGTCGACTTTATTGAATCCTGAACAACCATTGTTTGTGCTAACGGAATAAATCGACTGGTGTTACGTTGACAAAAGTGCACTGATTCAAATGGCGCATATTTCTCACAAAAATGAAAATGAATTAACATAACTACCTCAGATGGACGACAGTTTTCTTCAGAAATATATACCTTCTTGGAATGGGGATTAGGCTTTTCTGGAAGATGGAAGAATAAGTCGTTTGCAGGTTGTGAATGACGCTGCTGGAGGGCAGCAGGTTGTGAAGGACTCAAAGGACTTATCACGACTGACGGAAAATAATTGGTGAATTGATGGCTTTCATGAGACCTCCCTGATTATACAGTTTCTTTCATGTTCATTCAGTCTTGTTCCCATGGATCTTCTGATGACTGAAGGTGACTGAAGGAACGTAGAAGAAACTGCGAATTAGGCCGAAAAGACAAGTCAGCTGTGGCAGAACCCGCACTTAGTGGAGAAAAGAACAGAATTCTGTTCGAATATACGAAACTTATTGTCCCCGACCAGGGATACCATAGTCGACTGGTACGGGAGACAACAGAAATCCACAAACATACGGATAATTTCAACAGAAAATAAGAAGCTGTGCACTTCAATCGAATATGGAATCCCATTCTCAGAAGTTCAATGATAACAAACTGCATGACATCAGGTAGAAAAGGGTCAACAAACGTTATTGAATCGTGCCAAATGTAGGTACAAATATTTCCACATCAATATAAACACACTTTACGTAATGCACCCAAGCCAGATCCAAGTAATAGCACACCAAACCACTCGAAGAGTCAACATAAATACGCGTGACGCAGCCGTAATATCCCGTCATCGAAGATAACTCGGGATGTATAAACCTCAGAGGAAGCTAGCCCCTCGCATCAGCGAAAGAAATTTGGAAGATATTCCAAAAATCCACAGCTTTCAAACCCGGAAAATAGTGACACTGAAAATTTAGGCCAAGAAAGCCTTAACCATTTTGTCAACTTTGAAGACTTCGACTTATCAAAGCGCCTGACCTGCTTGTGGGCTGAAGTCCTAAACTGAGAGTTTCACATGGCCTAACAGGATGGTATCTTCATCACCTTAGTCTACCGCAGTCATATGACGAGTATATAGAGATTCCTGACACAAGGTGTAGGGCCTGCCACGAGGTGCCTGAGGCCCTTTTGAACTTTCTGTTGCCACGTCCAGCATATGCGATGTCAGTCTACATCCGTCGACATAACGTGGTTCTAAAAGGGCTTCATTACCAGCTACGGAATTACGGTATTGACAAGACATCGATGTTGCTCTAGGTTTCGAGGGATATCAAAACCGTTGTCGGAAACAAGTATTCGTTGTGGGTTGGTATTCAAAAATAAATACTGAAGAATGAGTTTTATCAATTATACTGTACCCTATTGGAAAATCTCAAACTTATTTTTGAAGTTGAGTTTGTATAATTTTCCACCTGCATCTTTCTCGTTTGCTCAAGAAAACAAATATAGTTTGATTCATTTTTTTTCATACTTGTTAGAGCCATCATCATACGTAATTTGAAAACTTTTGTAACTAAATTAAAGAATTTTCATTCAAGGATTCCATGAAATTGTATTCGAGACATTCATCGCTGTTATTCGAGAGACCGGAAGCAAAAAGGAATCTGCTAACCTTTGGTATGAAATGATACAATTACGTTTTGAGGCAACCAGTCTCCTGTGGAAGGTATGCGAGCTTTTTAGGTTTGTGACACATCATTGGCATTGTGTATTTTCTAACCAACGGATTCTTGGATGATTTGCAATATGAATCACAAAAATATATTGACAGTGACATTGACATAATAATTGAAGCATTCCATTCCATTCAACGTCGAAGTTTGATATCATCTGTCATATATCAAAATATTCTTTCGAACAAACGTTACATTTCAATTCAAAGATATTTCCACCTGAAAGCAGCGGATGTTCCTGCAATTCAGGAACCCTTAGGTACCAGTTGAGATGATGGTAAACGACCAGATGGTATGTCTCTCATACTATGGAAATATAATAAACCTGTGATATGGGACTTCACCTGCGTTGACACGGTCGCGGCTTCCCATCTAGCCGAAAGTTCGAAGTCTGCTGGAACCGCAGCATTATCTGGCGGAAAATTTAAACAAAAAAAATTCCAAAATATTGGTAACAACTATCTGATCCATCCAATAGCGGTTGAAACTTTTGATGTTCATAGCACGGAGTCTCTGTTATTCGTTCATGAACTCGGAAGGAGAATGGGCCAAGCAACGAAAGATCACCGTTCTACCTCTTTTTGATAGAAAGAATCAGTA